AATGTGATCCTATTAAATTGACAAATCACTTCTTGTATATAATTACAATGGTTGTAATACGTATATAAATATCTAAAAAAAAAAAATGAAGAATTCATCCATATTTTTCCTATATATATATATATATATATATATATATATATATATATATATATATATTATATATATATATATATATATATATATATATATATATATATAGTCTTGGTAATAGTGAAAGAATAATTCGACAAACTCATCATAGTTATGACTACACGGCCTCCAGATATACAGTGAATAAATCCCGAGTGAGAGGTCATAAGCGGAAATCAATCTGATTCCATTTTTGGCCTACTGTACACACATTCACATACATACATATATACATATATGTAGTCATAACTATGATCAGTGTGTCGAATTATTCTTTCACCATTACCAAGACTTATTTTTATTTTCTTCGCAGGAGCAGGAAGTTTATTTAATATTTATTAATCATATCACTTGTTATTGTTAATTAACTATTTATTTTTTGTTTACCTGTTTCCGATCAGGATCATATATTACTCAATCAAAAAATAAATAAATTATAGTTATAGAAATGTTTGTATTCAATAACTTCTCATTTCTAATTAATAGTAGCTAATGAACTCATATGGTTTAAAAATTCAATACTCTCCATACCAACCCTATTTATAGACCAGGAAGAATACAAAAGTTCCGTTGTCATGAAATGTTTAAATATGTTTTGTAGTGTATATCGTGATCTCAAAAGTAATTGTGTTCATTTCGTGATTTTTTAGATTATAAAAAAACTTGTATTATTACTTACATTATCTTAGACATTTAATTAATTAACTTTTGCTGTTATTTAATATTTATGTATTTAAGATTTATGTATATAAGATTTTTTTTACATTATTTTAATTTATACAAATAACTGTAATGTTTTTATACAAATATTGAATTTTATGCTTCCTCTTTAGCATCTGTCATTTACTTTGTTATTTTCATATGTTTAAGTAATATATATCATTGTAAAATCTCTAATATATTGTTAAATAATAAACCAGCGTTTTCGTATTATATTTCCTATAAAGATATATATATTTTTATTTCTTTCTTTATTTTTTATTTTTTAAGTTAACAATGGGACCCTCTTCAAAGTTTTAAAATAGAGCTTCGATATCTCAGGCCAGGGATAAACCGACAGTCCACCGTCTACAGTTCTAAAAATATACAAGCTTATAAAAATCGCAAACTTCGCTCTTTCAAACGTATTGAAATCCCAAAATAAAGACCTTGAAGTATTGGAATCTCGAATAAAGGGTACAGAATGTTATGAAAAAAAATTTATAATATATGGCAGGGAGACCTGGTCTCTAACACCAGAACCCTAGAAAGAAGTATTGAAGATTTGAGACAAATCCCCGCACGATAAACGGAGATATCTGGAATCAGAGTACTATCACATCGAAGATAAAGAAACATAGAGCTTCTTATAAAAACTGTTCAATCAATATCTCATGATATAAAAGCAAGGAGGTTGAGATAGGTGGATAATGTAACTCCGAGCAATCCGTGAGGAAACCTTTACACAGCAATAAATGCATCGATAGTAGACAAAAAACCACCTGGAACGCCAAATACGACATGGATCGATCGGTTAGATCTCAATAAGGTAACGTAAAAAAAAAAAAAAATTCAGTGAATTTGAGCGAAAAGCCACTCCTATCAGATTTGTACTTTTTGAATTCTTAATGAACTTAAATTTAGAGTGAAAAAAATCAAAAAATTATTACTTCCGAACATTGTTTGTATTGACCAATCAGCTCTTCGCTTCATCTTGGTTTAATAAAAAGAAATGTTGCTCTCCGGGCGTGTCGTGTATTGCCTGTGGGAAATCAGGGAACTGGACCAATCTACACAGCAGCGTTAGCTTGTGTACTGTCTCTGTTCCCCCATTATTTGAGGCAGGCGATACATTGGTCCGCTGAATCATTTTTGACCACCCCATGGCAATTACTCGTCTCAAAATGAAAGTTCATTGAATCAAATTTTTAAAAAAATTGTTTAGCATGGAAATAAAAAATAAAATAAAATTGTATACTGAATACTCGACGACCACTTCATCCTGATTCCTTGAGTATGTTTTAAAACTAGTCGCATTTATTTTCAAGTCTCTATTAATGTTTACTTTGTGAGTAGGATAATTGTGATTTACGAATCGGTTAGACTAATTAATATCTCAATGGAGTTGTGCAAAAGTAATTTTCGGGGAGACCTTCACCTAGAATAGTTAGTTTTTAATGACTTGAAAATAGTACAAGCGGCTGAACACAACAGCTATATAAGTATTAAAGCTGTCCTGATATTTTTGGATCAAGTAGACCTTGTGGTAATATTTGCCTGCCTCTTTAAACGTATGTTTAAAGAGTGCCCATTACCACGTTACGAAGTTTTCTTTGAAAGTTATAACATGAATGTGAGAAGGATAAGATGGTCGGGACATGTATCTCATAGAAATAGATCCAGATGCCTGTGTACGGCAATGAATGCAACAATAGAAGGCTATGTTACATGTGAGAGGATAAAAACCAGATAGACCAAATCAGCAAAGATATTCTAGAGCTACATGCAAATAACAGGAAACAATGCCACGAAAATAGGCACAGAAATAGAACGCTGGTTAGGGAGAAAAAGGCCAATAAAACACACACTTAACACCCAGAGTGGAAAATTCAATGTGAATCTTGGGTTTCAAAACATTATAAATCCGCATTATGTCAGATTTAGTTTTTTGTATTTATTTTTATTTATACAGAAATGTAGCAATCCATAACACGGCCAATAATTATAGTCAGATATGTGCCATATATATACAAAATATAAAATAAACAAAAACAAAATAACAACTAAATAATAATCGAAATATATATACCATAAAAAAATAAAATAACTTGAAAACAATAAAATTTAAAAACGCAAAAAACACATACATATCTAAATATACATGCATAGGCGGGAGAGCTCCAAGGCAGGCTTGTCCCTCCAACTATGGAGGGAAAAGCAGGACTCCAGGAGATTCCTGCACTACTCTCTTCACCGCATCACACATACTAAAGCCTATGGAAGTTTATGGAAGCGCCCATTGGTGTCCTATGCGAGTCAAGACTTTAATATCATTCTCGGCATGAGACCAGCGTATATTCCTAAAAACTAATATCTATTGCCCCATCAGAGATTCCTCCTAAATGAAATAAAATTAACTGCTAACTTGACAAATCGTTTAAAATGTTTATTATTTCCTCACGAAATATCGTAATGAAATATTTTTTCCTCCAAGAAATGGGATCCAGCTCATATGGCATATACATGCTCCTCTCATCGAAATTGTACACATGCTACAAGCAAGGATCCCCCCATGTTCTGGTGTACTATTACTGTGCAACCCAACCTAATGTACCATCTTGACAGTAGTTATTTATGTAAACTATTTCACCCTTTGTAAATTTTAATAGTATACCTTTACATCAAGCTATTAATCGACAAGGCCAGCTAAGAGATGGTAAAGTGAGATAGCTGAATGAAAAATTTAAAATAAACTAGTTACAAATAAAATAAATAGAACATTTCGACAGTGGTTGTTGGTACTTAAACATTTCAAAGTAACTAATTATTTAAGAATGATATCCTCTACATGAAATACATTTTTTTTTTTTGGACTTCCCTTTGAGGCTAGTGTTGCTCAAATGCGAGACCGAGATGAATCTTGCTCTTGCAAACTCAGTCTTGGTCTAGGTCTTGGTCTTGCTCAAGACTCTCGTGACAGTACTCCAGTCACCTACTAGCTCATTACTATAGAGATATTACTGTAATTTTTTAGAGAGGAAAAACCTACCTAACTAAGTCTGAATAAAAACTTAGAAGAGTTAAATGCAAAAGTATATTGGTTACACCAATTCTTCACATAAATTGTCAAGTATTAGTAACTATTCTGCCTCAATTTTTATTCAAAAAATTGATTTTTTTTACCGGTGTTGGTCTTGGTCTTGCAATGTGCAAGATCAAGACCGATTTTGGGCAACATTATTTGAGGCCAATTTTTCCAATTTTTTTTTTTAACATAAATTAAAAACTATGAACCTAGTGTACCATGCCATAACAGAAATATTTATTGAAATAAATCTCTCTATTATATAAAAGAGTTTTTAGTGTATGTCTTATTTTAGTACTGGGAGCGTAGAAGGTTACAGGAGCTCTCCTATAAGATCTATAATTAGCGATAATTACACAACATTTAATTTCATTACATATGTGTTGAACCTCTGTTACCTAATACTCTCCTAATATAAAACAAAAATTTTATATTAAACATTTGTTGGGGAAGTGGTATTTATTCATCTGGAGATGGTAGTTTGATTTTATCTCGGTGACAGCAGTTATTTTGTCTATTTAGACATTTCCTCTTGACTACATTATATTAATTATTATATTATACATAATTTTATTTATATTATATTGTGATATAGTTATAATTATTATTAGACATAGAATAAGAAGCAAAATCAAACGAACAATGAAAATACTAGAAATAAAAGGCCTTAATTATAATTGGGCTTATATGAAGCTGGAAAAGTTAAATTAATATCATGGTTAAAAATTGGCAATAAGGCGGGATAATGTAGAATTTTAAGAATTTGTTGGAACGGTAGGTTAGTTCAATTTATTTTATGATGATAAAAAATACATCAATCTGAACTACAGAATATATGTAAATTAAAGTTATAAAGATTAAGCAGAAAGTTTAAATTAAATTAAATAAACAGTGGTATAATTTGTAAAATGAGGGTTGATCCGCCGTTAATTGGACATGGGGTGCCCCCAAGTAACTAAAAAAACAATTACAACAAAATAATTAAAAAATATCTGAACTGATTCTACCAGCCTTTGGTTGGACTATGAACCCTCCTTAGGTTCCTTTATTCTATTTCGCATTGAGAAACTATTTGATTTTGCAGGATGGACGACCCGAGTAGCGCCCAACAGGATTGGGGGTCGGGGAGCCAGGTCGGCATCTACGGCTGGAGGAAGCGCTGCCTCTACCTCCTCATCCTCACCCTCCTCGTTTTGGTCGTACTCAACCTGGCCTTGACTTTGTGGGTCCTCAAGGTCATGGAATTCAACACGGTAAGTAGTACATAGACTTTAAATTTACTTGAGTCGCTAATTTCCAAAGTAAACTCCGATCGATTCTATGTTAAAACTCCCTATGAATCCGATGGTGAAATTTTTGTTTAAAAAAAACGAATCTAAATACTAAAAAAGAAGTGGTGTGAAAATAATTGTATTCCCAAAATCGTGCTTGTTTTTTTCAAACAATGTCATGAAATTTGTTTTTTTAAAAACTGTTTTATTAAAATGATGTATTTTTTTTCTAATGCCTCTTGATTTATTATACTTACGCCATTAGTCTTTAAGCAGCTACCTGGCTGTTCTAGGCGACAGCTGTAATCGCTGGTTCTCTCATATATTCAGGGAGCTTATGGTTTATAATAACCGGACGCGGACACTAATCACTCCCACTTCATCAGACTGGTTGGCAACGTTTTACAGACATATCCATCCTGTTGTTTTTTACAGGGTAGGATTAATGCCCCTGTGCCCAACCCCAAATCTGGAGAACCAGGAGCTATGTTGTAAGACACAGGAGTCGCTCACCTTCCTGTCAATCTCAGGGTGGGGACAGTACCGTCCTCATGCGGGAATGGAACCCGTGCTGTAGTGATCGAAGCAATTGAGTTACATCAATGCAATGAGGACCTCCTTATTATGTAACAAATAAAATTATCCATGAAGACCTTAATATTTCTCTTTTGGGAGACTTGGCTCGAACTAGATATACATCTTTTCATTCCAAATCATTTTGTTCACCTCAGTCCTCTAGTTTGTAACCTTTCATCCAACACAATTCCTGACAACCCTCCGAGTCTGAAAAGAAGATGGCCAAGGGACCTCCTAAATTAATTCATCTTTGAAGTGTTACCAATGGGTAGCTTCTTCACAAGTACTTTCATGTGATATATTCCTACAGAAAATTTACTGGTTATATATATATATGTGTTTACAGTTCTAAATTTCTATAAACAATAAAAAAAAAAAAGGAAACAGAGGTACCTGCTGGAAACGGCCTGGGGTTGTGGTCATCCCTTATGCTACAAAAATTGCAACCAATGAGAACCATTCTTGCCCCACCCTGAATATTTCGATAAAATATACTGAGGGGTCTTATGTCACTGCCTGGCCTAGAGGAGAGGTCTGATGTGGAGAGCCGGATCTGAGGAGGTGTCCGATGTGGAGACTGAAACATTGGCTCTACATGATCCATGACCAGATAATCTTAACTTCGCAGATGCAGCGATGACATCTACCGACTACACAACTTCATATACAATCGATAAGTTTTATACCCAACAATTAATTTTAAAGATGTTAGAATATTTCATGGCAATATAAATCTTCAAAACAGTCCATCTGAATTCATGCCTTCACTACCAATTGTTGAATTCATTAATTCTTGTATATATATACCATTTATTCCTAGACTTTAAAGCAGCATACGACAGCGTTGATAGAACGCAACTATACTGTCCCTTGGAGGAGCTAAGCATCCGTCAGAAGCTCGTACGCCTAATCGAGATGACCAAGTTTTATATACCTTGGGTCTGAAATTAATAGCAAAAATGACATGGCTCAAGAAATACAAAGAAGGATCACGGCTGCCAATAGATGTGTCTTTGGACTTGGCCGACACTTAAGAAGTAGGTACCTCTCAAAAAAGACCAAGCTGATCATATACAAGACCCTTGTTCGGCCTGTTTTGACATATGGCTCAGACGCTTGGACGATGACTAAAAACGATGAGATGAAGCTGAGTGTGTTTGAGCGAGGAGTCCTCAGAAGGATTTATGGTCCAGTAAAGGAGGGTGATGTCTGGAGGAAAAGACAAAATAGGGAGCTCGGTTCTCTCTATACAGACATCGACGTAGTCACGTATGTTAAACTGGCCAGACTAAGGTGGGCAGGGCATGTGGCCAGAATGAGCACCGTTGAAATACCAAAGAAAATCATGATGGAGGAGCTGCATCTCATAAGACGGGTAGGAAGGCCGAGGACGAGATGGTTGGACAACGTGGCCTATGATGCGAGAACCCTGCTTGGTGTACGGAACTGGAGAGCTGCAGCAGAAGACAGAGCCAACTGGCGGAGGCTCTTGGAGGAAGCCCAGTCTCGGTAACGGAATGTCGTGGCACATATGATGATGATATATATATATATATTCTTTATTAAATATAAAAATAAAATAAGTGTGTAAATAAAAGTTATTTTAATCATGCCACCTATTTATATCATTATAAACACAGGTAATGTTTGGTAATTAGAGAGCACGATAAACACACACCAGCCTTTGTGAAAAGTAATCCAATTAATTAATCATGGACCAAGTATGTTAAAGAACCAAATTTATTTTACTAATTTTTTATTAATTAAATTGTATTAAATAATTCTGGATAATTATCATCAATAGTTATCCAGTGGCATCCCGAATAAAATTAAACACCCTAAAACGTACCAGCGTTACACCTTTTCTAGGCTTGCACTTACATATACTCCGTAGGTCCAGTAATTTTTTTTTTTTTAATGCAAAATCGTAGTGATCGAAAAACAAGAAACTGTGGATCGAGCTGATGAGACTACCTCTATAAAGTGGAAAAAATCTGCTGGTTGAGCGTAATCTCAGGTCAATCACAACCATGAACGACCGTCGTTATTGACACAGTACTTCTTTAAAACGTACCGAATTCAAGACCCTCATGGATTGTAATGGTACAGGTTCGTTATTTCATTTTTTTAAGACCTCTGAAAACATAAAAAGTGTTTCATTATATATATATATATATATATATATATATATATATATATATATATATATATATATATATATATATATATATATATATTATTAATGATCACTATTAATGACTATGGATTAAGTTTAACTTTACCTTATTAATATTTCAGTCTACAGCAGTCACGACTGGTTGAAAATAACTTGCCTGTTTTTTTAGCCCTTTTAATAAATGAGTGGATTAAATATATTTCGGGGAGTCCATTAAATATATTAAATACGGAAAACTGGAATGATGTAATGTTGAGATTAGGCTAATGAACAGGTCTTCCTCCAGTTTTATTTTATTTTTCGGTGGAAAAATATATTAGTTATATCTGCAATCTCTTTCCTCTTGATTCTCTCGTGTATTTCTTTTTTCTTAATCGTACTGATATAGTAGTCCGTGGTATCCTTTTTATCAAATTATTAACATCCGACTAAAACTTCGTAAATAGGTTTATCGCATCTTAACTTACAAATATTTTATTTACAAAAATTCTCGGAATTGAGCCGTTTTTTATTTTGTCCGTTTCGGAGAACATTCTCTATTTAATTAGGTTCTAAAAACTCGCGAGTGCCCATTTGCTTTCCACTTGGTTCAGAAGATAATTTGATCACAAAATTGATATGAAAGGTGTCATACAAAAATATTGGGCCGTTTGGCCTATATGAGATCGTTATTTTGAAAATTTGGGAGTATAGGTTACACCAAACGGCTCAATATTCTTGAAGGGCACCTTTTTTCCCGACTTTGTGTTCAAGTTTGCTTACAATTCGAGTGAAGAACGACTGAATATTTACGAGAGTTGAGAAGTTACGATGAGTTGAAACTATTTACGAAGTTTCATCCGGATGTTAATAATTTGATAAAATGTACCACGGAAAATATGTAATAATAAAATTTGTTGTATTTTTATTTTGGGTTTGACGGAGGAAAAATTCATAAAAGTCGTTAGTAATTTCATTTTATGGCTTTTTATTTTGCAATTTAATATTATTAATTTATATTAAATCAATTTATAAAAAATTTATTGTTGATTTTTATCTTAAAAATATCCATTTAATAAATGATATATGCCTTGAGATAATCGAAAAAACAAAATTTACCGTATCGTTATAAGTTGTATAAAAAATGTTTTCCAAGACCTATTGTAGCATACTTTCTCATTTCATGTAATTATACATAAATCTTATTATAAACATAAATTGATGTACATATTCCTCTTCTTTGCCATCCCCCTTGCTATTTTTTTTCATTTTTTTCTTTACTTTTAAAAGAAATTAATGTACTAAATTACATCATTTTATTGCTTCCCTAGCATAGAAACTGGTATCCTTAAACCATATCGAATATTGAGTTTTTCTGGTCGGAAATATTTGGCCCATATAAATCTTCGTTTTTACAAGACATTAACATTACACACATTTCTTGTGCGCTTGAATAACACACTCAAGCATTAGAAATACAAAATTTGATTCAATTTGTTTTAATGAGGCGAGCTTCGATGTTTTTGTCAAAATTGTTAGCTAGGCTGTTTTTTGTTGTTTTTTTATCGTATATTAAGTTTATTATGCCAATAAATGAATGAATGTAAATAAGTATTACTACGCGAATCTATTTCTTAACCCCGATATTTCTTATTGGAAACGTTTAAGCTAGATCCTTTCTTTTTTATTCTTTACAATAAATTATGCCAATTTTCACCAAAATTTTATTGTTAGGCATTAATTTGACGTTTCGACCATACTAAGGGTCATTATCAAAACTTGATGAGTCCTTCGTTCTATGTTCATCATTAATGTTGTAATTAATATGTTCAGTGAAGCATTAACTTGTCATGTTATATAGGGGCTTAGCCCACGTCATTTCTGGAGGGACTGACGTGGGCTCTGCAGGAGGGACGTTCCTCCAGAAATGACGTGGGCTAAGCCCCTATATAACATGACAAGTTAATGCTTCACTGAACATATTAATTACAACATTAATGATGAACATAGAACGAAGGACTCATCAAGTTTTGAAAATGACCCTTAGTATGGTCGAAACGTCAAATTAATGCGTAACAATAAAATGTTGGTGAAAAATAGGCAAATTTATTGTAAAGAATAAAAAACTTCAAGACACCAAAAGTAGGAAAAATGAACAGAAGAAACTAAATCCTTTCGTTGTTTTAAATGATCCATTTTCCAAATACACAGGTAGAAATTAAATCCGGAAAAGCCGGATTTTTAATGCGAA